TGTTTAGCATTAGTTCCTTTTTCTATGAAATATGGATAATAAGAACTGTTACAGCCCAACCAGGCCCACTGCCCCACTGCTCAAGGGGAAGCCAATACACTGGTATAGCAGGTGTTACAGCAGAGAAATTTAATATTACAGGTGCCATGCGAGGAGATGGGAGGTATTTCTCAAATCCGACCCTTCGAGAATTTGAGAGAAAGGATTTTTAATGATTGTTTGGTGGACAAAGGGCTAGGGGATTGGGTCTGCTGATTGCCTGGGTTCAGGGTAGAGCCGGTAGAATCATAGGGGCATAGAAGTTGTCTTCTTGTGCTGAGTCAGTTCCTGGGTGCGGGGGTCGCAAGACGAGTTGAGTCAGTTCCTTGGTATGGGCCCCTGGGCTGGGTGAGTGAGCCAGTGCACCAGAATGCAAGGCCTGGAAGATGTCTCAAAACTAGTCTTAGGTTTCACAAGGGCGATGTTATTTATGGGAGTGAAGATAGCCAAGACTCTTTATGACCATCAGCTATATGACTCCTGAGTAGTAAGCAATTATAGGAAAGCAAGCTAAGGAACAATGGCTGGTTATACGTGTATTTTAACTATGCCTATACCTTTGCAGAGTTCAGGCCTCTACCACAGTTCCCACCTTGTGGCCCTTTATTAATTTTATAAAGGGCAGTTTCAGAACTACTGTTACAGATTATGATATAATCTATGTATAAACAGTGCCGTGTAGTACTATGTTTCATATAAACTATTACAGTTAATACCCCACTTCCTAGGAAATGTTTTTACTTGGTAAATTTTATTCCTGGGCCTACTTAATCTAAAATCCTCTCTTCTCAGTCCACTTCACTTGCATAAAATTAGGCAGAAGAAGTTTGCAGTTTCGGGATAACTCATTTACAGTTTACTCACATTTTAACATTGTCTTATCATCTTTTCAGGAGAGCTAGGAAAAGATCTTCGGGCTGGAAGAGGGCTTGGTTCCTGCAGAGTGGGCAAGGGCGGCAGCAGAGAAGGGGGTCATGTGGGCATGCCTGATGAGGCACCGCAGACAAGTAAGACATTGTCTTTAGATGTTCATGCTTTGTAACCTCTTCCTGGCCTCGGGGGATTCCCTTTCCTAATGATGAAGAAACTCTTATCCCGGAGACTAAAATTGTGAGACGTTCACTGTTCCAGCCTAGGCTGAGACAGCTGGAAAACACAGCTTGATCCTGCAAATTGGCTGAATCCCTATCTTGTTGGGTCTTGTGAGAGTAGAGACACTGGTGAGGAAAGCGTGATACTCTGAGAACTGAAGTAAGAGTTTTAGAGCGACTTGGATGAATGCGTGTTCTAAATCCCTAATCCTCACTTTAAGTGAACTCCACAGATTCGCTTGTTACCTTGGCTGACGACCCCTTAATAACATCGTTTAAAAGAGTTAGCTTGCAAAAAGAAGTCCATTTGCCTTATCCTTACAATCCTTCATTGTTTCCAGGACATAGTTTGAGTCAGATCCCAATACAAAGCATAATCTAAAAGAATGCTTTTTTGGAACATATATATTGCTATGTGGGGAATACCCATGGAAATAGATTCTGAGTATGTAGGACCCTGAAGGAAGCAACAATTTTAAACTGGGTTAAATTATCAATATGGGTACACCTAGAGCAGAGATTCTAGCTCAGTTGTCACCTTAAACAGCTCAAAGTGGTCCTTTTTTTTTTTGAGACAGAGTCTCACTGTGTTGCCTTGGCTAGAGTGCCGTGGCTTCAGCCTAGCTCACAGCAACCTCAAACTCCTGGGCTCAAGTGA